GCCAGTTCTAAGCTAAATAAAAATTCATTTCCATTCAAAATAAAAATACATAAAGATGACAATGCGTAATTATTGTTCGAATAAAAATAAAATAAACATCATTTGCTTCACGTGAACATACACAACCACATGAAAGTAAAAAAGTAAATAGTGCATTATTCTATCCAACTATAAGATTGTTTCAAACCTCAGGATTCCTGTAAAATTGACAGCAATATGGCCGCCTACCCGCAGCAATCTTAAAATCTCATCAAAGCTGTATGGTCGTGCCACGTGACCTTGTGAAAGTTTAAGGCATAGCTAGCTCCCTTTGCGCAAGAGAATTGATAGCGATCTCTATCTTCAAAGTCCTATAATGCATGGAAGGCGGTATTCGAGAAGCGATCGTTTAAATTTCTTTAGAACATATTAAACACTCATTTCTGGGAATGAAGAAGGACGGTATATTTTTATCAATTTCCCCGCCAAATTTGGCCGGTCAGCTAAATTGGTGTACAGGTGACGTAACGTCAATTTTCCCGTTAAATTTAGCGGGTAAACCGAATTGGTCTGTAGGTCTCCTGATGTCAGGTCACGTGCCATCAAATTTCACGCTAAATTTAGCGGGGAAACTGAATTATTGTTTAGGTCAGGTCACTGAAATTTCCCCGCTAAATTGAGCGCGAAATTCTGGGACGAACGGACGGACGGCCAAACATTTTGGGAATGGGGGTTTCCGTTAGAAACCATTTCGTGCTATAAAATGATACCGCCATCCCTTTAATGTTTAAAGGCGGACGACGACTCAAGCGATCGAGGGGGTGGGAGTTGTGCCTATCACAATATCCCTCTACGGACGCGTCAATCAGTCGACACCATTGTCAGCATTCCGCTGCTGCACCCAAGTGACGTCAATGCCTACAATGTTGGAATACCTGAGGAGTTCAGTTCCTTGGGGGATCCGTTGACGTGCGTTTTTATCCACGGCGGCTGGCACAGGCTAACGCACTGCCAGGGAGCAGTGCGTTAGCCTGTGCCAGCCGCCGTGCCTTCAATCTCCTGCTGCCGTGCGCAAGCGAAGATTGAGCACGGCTGTGCTGCGTTCAATCCCCACACGTGCCGGCCTGTCGGCGTGCCGTCGTGTACCTCTACTGCGCGACGTACGGTAATAAACTCTTCTAGCGCGGGTACCGCACTGACTAGGTTTTTCATCTGCAACAGAGACACCTGGTGGACCGTTTTTCTATTCGCGTCTCCAGCTCGTTGCTCGCCCTCCAGCGGCAGAAAGGGGGAGGGCTCTAGTAAGGGTCCCCCGGTTCTCCTGCTCAGCCGGCACGGTCGAACTGCTCGCGATCATGGCCCTCGAAATGTAATTTTTGAACGCAAACAACTCTATTCACGGTCCCAATGAAGCGCTGCAGCCGGTATTCGATAGACCCTTTCCGAAATTCAGTCTGGTCACTTTGATCACCATCATCATCGGAAAAATGGCATATGTGCCGCACTAATGGAGCCTTCTGTTTACTGATGAACGAAGAAGTTGAAGATGCTCCTTAGCAGATAATTCGAGGCTATACATTCGTGACGTTAGCACGATGCGAAGCAGGAATTGACAGCAAGATTTGCGTAAGCGTTCATTTCTAGCTCGGGCCCAGCCAATCTGTTGGTAGCATCAAGGTGCTCCAAAGCCCCTTGATTTGTAGAACTTTATCAAGCCGTGTACGTGGGTTGACGCTTCGTTCTGACTGGTTGCATCTTTGTTTCTGTCGTCACTGAAAGAGATTGAGAAGGAAATGCACTGTGAAGCGTACACTGTCGCTCGCCGTTGACTTGCCAAAGTGACGGTGCCCGATAAAATACGGCAGACTCCATTTTCACTGCCGTCATTAGTACGGCAAAAGTTAGACTGCCATTATAACCACCAGATGTCACTGAATTTCAGGAAGGGTCTATTGTACCTTATTAGAGGGTTTTAGTATTGCGTATAGAAGCAAGCGCAAGCACTGTGTGTTTGTGTTAGAGTTGCGTGCTGCGCGGTGTGCATCCGCGTCGTCGCCATGCTCCAATCCAAGACCGGAATTTCGGGCTCCGCAAAAGCGCAGTGTGGAACACGCAACGCGAACGCAAACACACAGTGCTTGCGTTCGCTCGCATACGCAATACTAAAGCTCACTACCGTTTCACCGGTTTCCAGCGCCAACGAAATGTGTTGCAGTGAGCAGACGTGCAAGCGGGCAGGCGTCCTTCGAACTGGAAAGCCATGAGATTGGCAAGACGACGGCGCTTAAGAATGAAACTAAATGCTCTGAGAAGATTATTTTTTCCGAAGTGAGAAAGGGGGTGGGGGCATTTGGTTCCAAAAGATTGGCGGCGACTTTGGAAGTTTTCCCGATAGTCAAAAGTAGCTTTGACAGCACCATATGCTTTGCCCACGAATAATGTAGTTTCACGTTGATTTCTCAGATTACCTAGAATGTTTTATTTTATTGTAGGCTACTGTAAAACCCTTTATTTCCACGGCCCCTATATTTCGAGACTCGTTCACAGAGGATATAATCCCCTCCACTAAATGTCGCGAATTCCAGACGCCTGCATTCAAACTCTAAAAACCAAAATTTTTGCGTGCCCCTAAGTTTTGCGAATTTATTTATTTGCGAAATTTGCGAAAATTAAGGGATCTCGAACATTGAGGGTTTTAGAGTATTTATATCTTATAACTCGTTAATTAAAATTTTCAAGACCAGTGATGATAATTCGCACACTTTTAATTGCCATACTTGTTCGCGCGTTTGAAATAATATTATACGAAACAAATTATATGAATTAAAGCTTGAAAAACTACGTATTCAAATATCTTCATTGTATTGTAGTTATTAATACAAACTGCGGCAATGTGGGCCCTAAATAAATGCCACGATTACAAAAATACGCCATTTAACCATTAAAGACATTGAGAAAGGTCTCATTTTGTTTTGTTTTGAGCATATAAAAAATTCTCACGTTGTTATCAAGATATATATAGACAAACAGCCAACAGCCAAACAGTGGATGCAATATAAAGTCATATGCGTCAAGCGTTACTTAAAAAAAAAAAAAAAATCACACACAGTTTTGCTGTTTGACTCGGATTCCGTCTTAGGTTTTTTGTAGTGAGAACAGGTTTTTCTCATTTATACGTTTTGTGAGTATATTCTAATCTTGTCACCCGTTTCCATATTTCGTAAAATTTGGATTGATTTTGTTGTTCTCGTGCTGTGAATTAAATCAAGTAATCATCTGAATACCCTAAACCTGCTGGGGAGAGGGGGGGGGGGGGGGGGGGGTTACTTCCACGTTCCAAGCCCCTCTGTCTCATTGGTCATGCCGCAGAATCAAAACACAGCTTTAAAATATTCCCTTCGGCAGGCCAGGTGCAAAGGAAATCTTTAGCTAATTGGCTTTCGAAGCGAAATGACGGGAATGTATCTGGAGAAACTTGACGCGTGCACGAATTTAAATCTGCACAATAATTTATTTTTCGTCAATAAAAAGGACACCAGCTGTCTGCGCCAGATAATTAAGTCACGAATGTCACGTCTTACGTTCAAAATATAAACGTAAAGCCGGGGCCACACTGTTTATGCATCATTCAAAAGACAGTCTGCACAGATTCGAACGCGAATCACCGCGAGATCCGTGCTTTGAATGCCGCATGGCAATGAGGTTTAAAGAGGAAACTCGGGCACGCGGCATTCGGACCCCGGATATTGCGGTGATTCGTGTTTGCAGACTGTCTATTGCATGGTGTATGAGCAGTGTGACCCCGACTTTGCGGATTTCCTTGTAGCCTCGTCTATATTCCGGCGTCTAGCCAGTGCGGTACCTTTGCACTGGCGAGACGCCGGTGCGGGGGTAGCGCACTGGCTGGCGTACCCCCGCACTGGCCGGGGTACTGCACTGGCGTCTAGCCAGTGCGGTACCCCCGCTAGACGAGTTTATTAACATGCGTCGCGCATTAGAGGTACATGACGGCACGCCGACAGGCCATCACGTGTGGGGATTGAACCCAAGACAGCCGTGCTCAATCTTCACTTGCGCACGGCAGTAGGGTTTGATTTTCTAGTGTTCCAAATTACGTTTTATTATTCTAGCGTTGACCAAACAATTGCTTTATCAAACGGGTAACGAGGCACGGGCCAGGGAGACGCTACTCTCCCCATGGGTGTTGGCGCGCTCGACAGGAGCGCACCGCCGAATGTAAACGTTTTCCTACCTATGTTCCCCTTCCCCCAATGAGGCCATGGCGCCTCCCTGTTAAAAATAAAGTTAATCATCACCACAAGCTACGTATAGCCAGTGGCGTCTTAAGAAACACCGGCCGTAACTCATTACATTCACTCTTCTCGCTCCGTGGTGCATTCTTGGGTGTTGTTATAAAAAAAAAGTGCCGAAATCTAATTGGTTTTGGAGCGATAAAAAGACAGTAGGGTCCTGCCACGTCTCGTGTTGCCGTTGCTTAGGACGTCAGTGTCCATAGTTGGCCACGTCGTACCTCGTTTCCTTGTTTCTGGCAATAATCGCCCCACGCCAGTGCAAGCCGGGGTGCGATAAAAAGTAGGTGATGGTCTTGATCTGGAATATGCCCATACGCGGCATAGTTAGTGTTTTTTTGTGCTAATCTCGTCAGGTTATGAGTTCATTCTCCCAGCGTGTACGACGAAGTGTGACTCTGTCGTTTCTGTCGCTTTAAGGCTGTTTCAGGCGTCTGTGTCAACTGCAACCACAAAAACCATGGGGACGAGGACATGGGCACAACCAGAAGTCACAATTGCCTTCCCGAGCTACTTCTGGCATTTATTTTTTTTTTACTTTGTTGTGTATTACGAGCACTCGTCTGACACGTAAACGCAACCTCTCTGAAGAATGCTTTTGCCTCACGAGAGTCTCGTCACAAACGTCAGCTGTGATCCGGTACAGCTGTATTTTGAAATAACAATAAAGAAATAGAAATTTATTCTATCGCCTAGGTAGTGTTCAGTCGATCTCGAAAGACGAGTGTACGTTGCAATGAGGCTCCAGTACGCATTATTGTTCGCATGCGTCGCCGCGGCTGAGGTCTGGGCGCAGTACGAGGAATGGACGCCGAGCTTTCACTGGACGGAGAAAATGACCATCAAGAACCCGGAAAACAACCCTACCTTCAACGACCCAGAACTTGGGTCTCTGCAAGATGCGTGGCAGGTATGTGATTAAGATAAGAGGGGATGAAGAATGAAATTCAGTGTGTTTCTTTAAGGATTTTTCAGATTTGTTTTAAAAATACACGAAAGTATATACTTATGCGGACTGTGCAGGTGAGTTTCACGGTCAGAGAGAAATTATATAAGTCGACAATCATCACGATTAATCATTACCTAACTAAACTTTGTGAATTAACTTTATAATGACTGAAGGTAAAGATATGATTCCAATCAGAAACTTGCTGAGTATCATTGAAAACCACTAAATCAGTAAATACCAGAAAGGGTAGGAAGCTCGATAGCGCGCCAGAGTTAAACCATCGTTGAGGTGTTCTGCGGGCGACATGAGGCCATAAGAGGTGAAGTCGTCGAAGGCGTCCGGTTTAGAAAGTCACGACCCCAAACGATCACCAGAACAAAAAGATCGCTGTTGGACGGAAAGGACACCTGATTTGGCGCCAGCAGAGGCTTTGGTGTGGTTTTGGTCACCCTTGGGGGCATTCCACCGACCGCGTCCTCCACGTTCGGCTTCACTTGGGATCTTCTCGCTTGGCTGGCTTGAGTCGCAATGTCGTCTCTTCTTCTTCCTACCTCCATGGTTACACTAGAACTACAGTGTAATTGATAGAATACGGGTAGCAGAGCCGTATATGTAGAGAGTTTGGTCAATGGGAGGCACGGGCAGAGCTAGGGCGTGCGGCAGACTCAGAAAGAGGGCTTGGCATGCTCTCTTGACCAACCAGAAGCCGAAAAGAATCCCCTAGCGGTGCTAGCGAGAAAGAGTTCTGATCAAAGGTCTATGTTCGTATATGGTTTTAATAAGCGCGCAAGAGTGAAATGGAGTAACTCTTCGTGGTTGAAAATAGGGTCACGTGGTGTTTTGATCATGATCATGCAGAAAGATGTAAGAAACGAATGTGCCGCTCAACTCTGTTTTGCGCGGACAGTGTGTGACCGCTCGGACGGCAGCTTCCCGGCCCTCGGCGCTTGGCGTACGGATTATGTCGACCGTTCCGCTAGTCGCACGCTTCCACCATCATTTCGGATGCGCGTGATTGAAACATCACGTGTACCGTATTTTCAGCCATCGAGAGTTACTCCAATGAAGTTATCAGGTTTGTTTCTCGCGACCACCGACAGGGTATTATTTCCGGCTTCTGGTTGGTCACATTCGAATTTCTGAAGACGCCCCGGAACACGCCCAGCCCGCTTTCGGCCAATGACGCCTCCTCATTTGTCTCCTATACACTCTAAGAAAAAAGGGTGTATACGGGTACTCCCTTCAGGGGAGTTAGACCGTGTCCCAAATGTGACTCCCCTGGGGTGTTTGAGGTATCCTCTCAGGTTGGGGAATTCAAGTACTCTCCAGATATACGGGATCACTTAGCACCCCCCTCAAAGTCCACGGGCCTCAACCGACACCCCTTACTTCGGGTGCTGCTAGGCGCCCTCTGTTACATTAGGGTACTTATATTACACTGCTAATTAGAGGAATTGCATGAAACCATTTTCAACTCTCAGGGAGTCAACGAATCCCTTCTAAATAGGGTGCTTTTTGGCGCCTTTTGTGACACCCAGGTACTCATGTGACACCCGTAAATCCAGGCATTATTTAGTACCGCTTACAACTCTCAGGGAATCACTTGATCGCCCCTAAATTGGGTGCTTTGTGGTGCCCGTTTTTATACCTAGAGACTCGCGTGATCCCCCTAATTGCGAGTGTTGTCAGACACTATACACAACCTTCCAGGTTTTCCGCGACTCCCCACTTTTGGGGTCGCTTTTGTACACCATGGGTCTCGCGGAGCTCCAAATAGTGAAGGCACTTTTTCAGACCCCGAAACTCAGCTAACTGGCTTGTTCAGGTGTGCTGGAGGGGCGATGATTCCTAAGGCCAGCTGTCATACGAGAGAGTTCTGAATTCTTTGCGTGTCAAGTTCCTTAAGGAGGCACTTCGAGGAGGTTTCAGGGGTAAGAGAATAATATCCACGGGCAACGTGCCGGCATCAAAATTTAACTGAAAACTTCTAGTAACACACAATCCAGACATTTGAAAAAAAAGTCCTGCCAGCCATGTCAGCCAACAATATTGTCAACCACGTTTTTATTGTAAAATCAAAAACTTGATACAGGTCAAAAGCTTAAAAAATAATTACTAAAAGCTTGTAGCCTGCCAAGAAGCTTCAGGGCAACCTTTTCCAGTGGTGTTTCTTTCAGCCCGATCGTACGTTCAAAAAGAGCCAAGGCGGACTTGATCCCCGTTGCATATTGAATATCCAAAGTTCAATAGATTATGAGGCTGAAGCCATGGATGCCGTCGCCAACATCCACCGACAGGTCCTCCACCTGGACTTGTACAGCTGCAGAATAGAAGGCGTCCTCTGTAGAGAATAGGACCGTCAGATGAGTTTATCTTTCTCCTGGAACCTGCAATATAATAAAGTACTGCACTTAAAAAAAGTATGCAAACATGGGTCATGATTATACGTTCTATTATTTTTAATATTTAGATATAATAATCAGAGATTGCCTGCTTCCGTATGCTGTGTGAGTGCATAATTTTTCTTTTAATGTCACGTAATGATTTCGATGTTCGCAGCCATTAACTTTGCATAGACTGTTGAGGCCTTTCACCAAATGCTCACATATCACAAGATGAAGTGAACAGGTAGTGTTTAAATTATTTTAACATACATATGACCTTCATATGCCTAGTACGAAGCGGGCACATGTTTAGGGGATGCATATAATTCGAATATGAATTTAGCTCAATTTGGACCCAATTAGTGCAACGCCAATTCTCGAAACGTCACACACGATTTGGTCATGTACTAAGCTAGAAAACTGGGCCAGTTTAACTTCGTAATTTGTCAAGACTCGTAAGGAACCCCGCCAGGCACGCACAGGAAAAGGAAAATATTGTCCTGCGCAGATCGCGTTTTCGATTTAAACAGTGTTATGAGCTGCGTCATTCGCTTGAAGAGCTCTGTAGGTCAAAGTGATTAACCCACTGCGTATTCTGTGAGGACATCGACACGAGTTTCGCTGCATTTTTGTGATGGGTAGGTTTTCTTGATCGGTTGCTTCAGCTATACTCTGCTCCAGCTGCGCATGTCTGAGGAATAGCGAGGCGTCCTTCGTGAGCCCACCTTCTCCATGTCAGTTCAAGGATCTGCTAGGACTTTGGCTCGAAAAATACAGTGAGGCTTTCATAAGGCATCTTATCACTGCGCTGCTCGAATTTGTTGAGAATCTGTGGAAACAAAAATGATTGTCTGAAATTAATATTGTTCTTAGAAATAATTAGTATAAATCTGAATAAGCGTAAAAAGTTGAATATAGTAGATGTTAAGCATAGATAAAACAAGGACCCTGCTACCTAGTGAATAAAACAACAATCTCTTCGCATTCCCTCGAAGTCCTGAACAGATCACCAACGATAAACACGTCTTCGCCGTAATGCAAGTGGAAGTTATACGTGTCCCAGTAACGTTCAGCGCCTGGCGAGAGTCCGTTTAGCGCATAATCAAAGCAGTTCGCTATTGCCGGAGAATATGAAGGAACCTCTTTGCCTCCGCGGCTGGAGTAATAAATTGGGAGTGTGAATGCCTTTTGGCTAATTTCAACTACACATCAAGGTTGATTTAAAGTCCTGAATTGTATATTGCGCCGTTTATAACAATATTCAGCGGAAGCAAAATATCCCATTTTGACTCTTTTAGTCTATTATTCATGGTAATAAACGAAACCGATTAATCAATTAGTTAAGTGAATAAGAGAAAATATTTAATCGTGCTAACATGTTTTTTTACCGACGTTTAGCCCTACTAGTAACCAAGCGATTGAGATGCTTTGAAAGACTAATACATGAATGGTTTACTGAATTTCCCCTGAGAGCTCTTTCATTTTGTAGGCTTTTTATTTAGGCAAGAATTTTCTAGACAAGCCAATATCTATGTCAATATTTCGGTATTTAACATTTTGGAACTTAAATAAATATTCCGAGAATATTTCTGCTTACAACATGAGCTCGCCAATTTCGGCAAGCCATTGACTATGCGACTTTTGTTTTCTAGCACGAATTATTCGACTATAACACCAGTCGACAGCAGACTATTCCGATGGCCTCAAATATAATTTGACGGAACCAGTGCGCTCTAAGCAATTTGTACTAAGAGAAATATGAAGCGCCACATCTGACCTGAATCATCAGTCTCGTTGACGAACACCTTGAGGGCCGATTCTAAAAACGCTTGGCGCACTCCTTTCTCTGTTCGGCTGCCACCAACAACGATAATTTTTGTAGATGTCTTGGAAGTCACGAACAAGTGACACTGGTGCACGCCGTTGAAGGTAGGACGGGAGGAGGAAGCAGACGGATTGCTGGAGCGGAGAGGAAGGAACATCCCTTCTATCCACCATTCCGCCTGCTTCCCCCTCCCCAGCGTACTGTTCCCTTGCCCTGAACCTCGAGTTGTTGCTTTTTTTTATTTTTTATAACTTTTTTTTTTCTTTTTTTACAACACCCGTAGCCTTACCACGTCGCCGGTGACGCCATAAGGGTACGGGATGACACGGCTGTGAACCGGAGTTTAGAGGAAAGTCAATGCTCATCCAAGGGCAGAAGGGAACAACAAGCCTGTCGAGTCCGTCCTTCCCCTAGCTTAGCGAAATCGGGTTGGAGGACGTAAGGGATTATAAGGAGCGGCCGGGTGCTGGCGCACCTGCCCCCATTGTGAGCGTACGCTGGGAAAGCTTCAGCGAAAACATTTCAGAGCCTCGGGAGAGATCACCTTGACGTTAGTTTTCGTAAATTACTTCGTCTTCTTTAGGCCGCGCTCTGTATTCTCCATCGTGATTTTATAGGAGAGCAGAGCAATTAATAAAACATTGACCAGATTTGTTTTGACGTCCTGTATCCACGTCTTGTGTATAAAAAAAAAAAAAAAAAAAAAAAAAAAAAACTCGCGCTTCGAGAAACGAATATTTATGGAAGTTTTT